TTATCATTCCTTGGGCTTTACTAGTCATAGTTCTTGCATCTCTTGCTATTTGAATAGTCAGCTCCTGAGCTGCCTTTCCTCTTCTCTGCCTCTTTTCATGAGGGGTTAAATTCATGTGATGCAAACCAGGAGTACGTGAGGTTCCAAATATTGCATCAACCAAGGGAATTCTCCCTTGTTACTATGCTATGGGGAGACACCCCCTCCCCCTTCCCCCTGCAGTCCTGTGGCCAGCAATGGAGGTAGAAACACAGGAGAGACTTAGAACTTAGGCAGAAGCTCTTCCCTGTGAGGGTGCTGAGGCGCTGGCACAGGGTGCCCAGAGAAGCTGTGGCTGCCCCATCCCTGGCAGTGCTCAAGGCCAGGTTGGACACAGGGGTTTGGAGCAAGCTGCTCTAGGGGAAGGGGTCCCTGCCTGTGGCAGGGGTTGGAGCTGGATGGGCTTTAAGGTCCCTTCCAGCACAAACCAGGCTGGGGTTCTACAAGTTGAACACGTGAACATGTACCGATGGTGCTGGGCAGGGTTTGGAGCTTTGGTTAAGCTCAGCAGTCCCTGTTATCAAAATCTATGCATCTAAAAATCCACTTCTCACCCCAGTGCCCCGATGAAACTTACTTTGTGCAATTACATTGCTGAGGAGCAGTTATCATGTCAGCAGCTCTCTATGGCTCACGTGGCAGCGGTGCCTGAGGTCGGTGCTGGTGTGGGTGCTGCGGGAAGCAATGGTACAGGATGAGGTCCCTGGCTTGGATGGGGTCAGTCTGAACCCCCCTACCCCAGCTGAGGCGGGTGGTGGGTGCACAGGGGATGCCTGCATTGCTTCAGGGATGCATTGGGAATGCATCAGCATCTTCCCTTGGAAGCCACTGTTTCCCAGGACCTGCAGGATTCAACTGACTCTTGTCCTGAAGTGCTTCAGCCATCGTTGGGTCTTAAATTCATCTTCTGTTGTCTCTTAGCCTGCAATTACTATAGAATAAGCCCCTTGGACTGTAGGTTATAAACCAGAGGCTTGTAGGTTCCAAAGCTGTGAATAAAACTTAGTATTCCAGGAGCGTGGAAGATCTGTGACTGGAAATCAATATTTCATGTTCTTCCCTCCGTATACACGTGCTGAGTGAATGATGCTGTTTGGGAGGGGATGGAGGGCAGCAGCCTGGTCCTGCCACTGCCTCTCTCTCTCTGTGTCCCGCTGCAGCAGCGAGGCTCCCCCAGCAGAATCTGGGGAGAGCAGCAGCTCCCTCTGTCCATCCTCCCATGTGCAGTCTGGAAACAGCAGAGATGAGAACCATGTAGAAACCAAAAATGGTGACAAGCATGGCCAGGGCTGAGCACTGAAAATGAGATTGTCTTTGCTCTAAACACAAGTGAGCACCCAGGGGAAGTGATTAGCAATATTGCTGATGATTTCCTGGGCTCTGTTTCAGTGTGTCAGGAGGCTCCAGAAGTGCACCTCTAGAATAAATCGGTGCCCAAGGGCTGATTCTTTTGTCTTTGTAAGGGTTTCACTCCCATTGGTGGTGTCCCTGGCCATGGCAGGGGGTTGGAACTAGATCGTAGAATCCCAGAGTGTTTTGGGTTGGAAGGAACCTTAAAGCTCCTCCAGCTCCAACCCCTGCCATGGGCAGGGACCCCTTCCACTAGAGCAGCTTGCTCCAAGCCCCTGTGTCCAACCTGGCCTTGAACTCTGCCAGGGATGGGGCAGCCACACAGGGAAGAATTTAGATGATCTTTAAGGTCCTTTCCACCCCAAACCGTTCTGTGCTTTTATGATTGTATCTTTCCCCTGCAGTGGCCGTCGCTGTCTCACTGCTGGGTGAGGACAGGCCCCAGCCCAGCAGTGCCAGGCTCCTGTGGGGACATCGTCCTCTCACTTTGGGGACCCCAGCAGCGTCTTCTTCTGGGGAGGAGAGCTCCTCCGTGCAGGTTTGTGCAGTTCCCCAAACTCCAGTGCTGCTGGGAGGGAGGTGTCTGGAGGAAGGATGTCAGCCAGGCATTCCCTTAGAGTTGCAGATCTCCATCTGCCCCTTCCCACCCCCAGGAGCTGCTGCTCCTCATCTTCACAGGGTTTATACATACACAGAGAAGTAAGCGTGAAGCACAGAAACGCTCATGCATGAAAAATGGAATTAGCGAGATGCTTCTGCTCGCAAGCAGACAAAGGTACCTGCTGATTCTGCCTGGTACACTGCATGTTCACTCCATCGGCATGTGTCATGGTTCAAGCTGGAGGTGACAGCCTTGCCCTTCCTTCTGGAGTACTTGCAGACTGCAGAGACTGAGGGCTGCTTGAATCCAGTCCACTGGGAACTGTGCAGCTGCATGAGGAAAAGCAGAATGAGACTCAATGCTACAGAAGAAACGGGACAACTTTGTTATGCTTCATGTCATAGATCTGAAGGACCGCTTGATATGTATAGAAATGGCAGTAAGAGACATGGAAGGGGCTGGATCATGCCCCTTTGGCTCCCCAGGAATGGGGGTCCTGCACCCCATCCTTCTCATCCCTCTGACCACAAGGCCAGGCCTGGGTTTGCTTCCCCAGCAGCACATTTCTGTGCAGCTCCGTAGCTGTTGCTGACACCAGCTGCAGCCCGCAGCTATCAGCCTAGGGATGCTGGAAGCTGTAATCTCTGTATTTAAACACACAGTTAAGAACATTTAGGCTTTTTTCATTGTAGGTAGCACTGAATTCTGCCTCCTTCAGCTCCCCATTCTGACTGGCAATCGTTTATTTGTGTTTCTAAATACAAAAGGTCAAGGTAAGCTGCTGCTAGGCCAGCGCTTCATCTCAGGTCTCTCAGCAGAGCTGCCTGAGGTCGTGCCTGTGCCTGGGAGAATCCCACCTCCAGCCCCTGCCAGTGCCTCCAGTTTCTGTGGTAACAGCACGTCTCCACGGTTGCCACTTCAATATGCTAAAAAAGTTATTAATAACACCGGAATTTCTTCCATGTGAGTTTTCACTGGAAGGGTGCTGGGTTCACAGCTAATTGCTCAGGTAGTTTTGCTTGCCCTAAATCCGAGATGCTGTTAGAGACCAGTGAAGTTGTCAGTAGCTAGCAGGGCTGTGGGGCACGCTGCTGGGGCAGTTCTAGGCTCTGCCAGTGTCTGCAGGGAGCCTATGGAAACCTGTGCCTGCTCCTGCTTGGAATTGTGCTGATTTCTGATGCTCGGGCACCGGCAGATCCCCGTGGTCAGTGGGGTTTGCTGCTTCTCATGGAATCACAGAATCCCAGCCTGGTTTGTGTTGGAAGGGACCTCAAAACTCCTCCAGCCCCAACCCCTGCCACGGGCAGGGACCCCTTCCACTAGAGCAGCTTGCTCCAAGCCCCTGTGTCCAACCTGGCCTTGAACACTGCCAGGGATGGGGCAGCCACAGCTTCTCTGGGCACCCTGTGCCAGCGCCTCAGCACCCTCACAGGGAAGAGCTTCTGCCTAAGAGCTCATCTCAGTCTCCCCTCTGGCAGCTTAAAGCCATTCATTCCCCTTGGCCTGTCCCTACATCCCTTGTCCCAAGCCCCTCTCCAGCTTTCCTGCAGCCCCTTCAGGCACTGGAGCTGCTCTCAGGTCTCCCCTTCAGGAGCCTTCTCTTCTCCAGGCTGAACAAGCCAGTCTTCTCTTTTGTATTTAAAAAACAAGATTAGCTCAAAGTATATATTATTAAACAATCTGTAGACCTGGCTGATCCACTCCAACCTTCCCCCATGGCAGTGGTCTTTGTAAGGTGCCTGCTCACGAGAGAAAGCCAGTAGTATTTTCCACCCAAAATGATCCACTGGCTTCTTGGGACTACTTGTATATTCAGATTAAGGGAGGGAGGCCAAAGTCTGTCTATGTAAATGTCATCCAAATCCTGCTTAATGGATTTAGCAGGGGTAAGTCAGTGGAACTCCACCGAAGGCAATTGAGTTGCTCCCACTTAATTGGTGAATTTATCATCAAATTTGCTCTGTGGAGGGATGGAAACATGCTGTATATTCTGTACACTAAAAATAGTCCATGTGTTGGTCTCTGGTCATTAATAAAAATCAAAACAGGAACTGTGTGCAGCCCAAAAACCCCATAGAGAAGATAGTCGATAAGTATCCCATGGGATGCTGGCAGTGTCAGTCCCTGTGGCCAGCACCATGCTGGGGCTGAAATGACCCTGTGTAAGCAGTGAGTCCATGTCTCACAGGGCTGTGAGTGTTGTGCCATGAGCCTGTGGGGCTGTGCATGACATGAAGGCAGGCTGAGAAAGTTGGAGCTGTTCAGCCTGGAGAAGAGAAGCTGCGTGGAGACCTCAGAGCAGCTTCCAGTGTCTGAAGGGGGCTACAAGGATGCTGGAGGGGGACTCTTCATTAGGGACTGTAGTGACAGGACAAGGGGTCATGGGTTCAAATTGAAACAGGAGAGATTTAGGTTGGATGTAAGGAAGAAGCTCTTTCCTATGAGGGTGCTGAGGCGCTGGCACAGGGTGCCCAGAGAAGCTGTGGCTGCCCCATCCCTGGCAGTGTTCAAGGCCAGGTTGGACACAGGGGCTTGGAGCAAGCTGCTCCAGTGGAAGGTGTTGGAGCTGGAGGAGCTTTAAGCTCCCTTCCAACCCAAACCATTCCATGATTCTATGATGCTGTGATGCTGGTGGTTATATATAATACATGGTTATACATGATGCAGTGCCCTTTTGCCCTGCTGCCTGGGAGTCTTTCTGATTTTCTCTTTCTTACCTGAACAAACGTATCAGGGAACACACAGAGTATTTTGGTTTTATGAGGTTCTTGATAGAGAAGCTGTGGAAGGTCCCCTATTGCCCCAGGGTCCAGGGGCTGCAGCTCATTTTGTGTGGGATCAGCCCAGGTGAACTGGAGCATCATTCCTTCTGTCCAGAGAGCTGCTTCTTTGGGTTTCTTCCTTTATCTGTTTGCTTGGATTTGTCTTTTACTCTTGTGAACAGCAGTATTGGGAATGGACTGGAGCCAATTTAATGCTTGAGTGCTAAGGTGGCTCTTTCTTATTGCAGATTCAGTTCTGAATGGAGGAGGCAGCAATATTGAGGCGTGGACACGCAGCTGAGGTGGTCGAGGTGCCATGAACAACCATGGAAAGCAGCAGGTATGAGAGACCTGAGTGTTTTATGTGAGAAGCAGCTTTTATTTGCACCACCAGTAAAGAGGAGGAGAGTTTGAGCCACGGAGGCCAAGGAACAGCACGGCTAAAGGGTCTGCCATGGGAGGAGAGCTGCTGCCCTCTGTGACCCTCCTGCTGAGCCTCAGCCCTGCCGAAAGCCCAGCTCAGGCAATCCCAATGGAGAGGCTCTTGGGCGAGACCATGGGGCAGAGAAAATCAGGGCAAAGAACGGAGACATAATTAAAAATTAGGAGCTGGGCTCCAGGAAAGCAGATTAAGGCATTAGGCTAAGGCAGAAGCCGCAGCCACTACACGACAGCACTTAATTGTCTTCCCCGGGGCAGCCTGAACACCCGACTCTGGGCGTTTGCTGTTGTTTTGGAGGCTGCTGTGTGGGTCGGCGCACAGCATCTGCCTGCTTTCCCCTCTGCAGCCTGCTATTAGCATCTCACTGTAATTACATTTTCTCAAAATGAGATGGAATGAATATGTGCTTTTCTTTTTTTTTTTTTTTTTTTTTGCAAGCATCAATATTTCCATGGGGTTAAATTGGCAGTTGCCTGATTTTGAAGCAAGGGCATCAATGTTTCTAAGCCTGACTTCTTGTCTTCTTTCCCCCTGGCCAGATAATAATAGAGTTATTGATTGTTACTCAGGAAAATGGACTAAAGGAACCTTTTCTTTCTATGTAAAGATGGAATTTGACCTGGTGGGTTGCAAGAGGAAGACTCTGTGCTCCCTCTCTTAGCTAATAAATAACACGCATTAAGATCTATTTAATTATTTGAGGCCTCCACAGCAAGATGTTTATATTTTAATGTGCAAATCCAGCAGCAGGGTTCACGTTGAAACTGTGCCTTAAAATAAACCACAGTGAAGACTGGACCAGCGCTTGGGAATGGGCAGCCTGGCTGTTCTCCCTCTGCCCTGGGCTGGGAATGAAGGGCATCTTTGGGACCCACTAAAGGCGAGCTGCAGCTCCAGCTCCATCACCTTGGGCTCGGCTGGATCTGGACTGGCAGGTCAGCCCATGTTGGGATGGTGGCTGTGGCGTGTGAGAGGCTGATGTCCAGTGGATGGATTGGACTGGCAGGTCAGCCCATGTTGGGATGGTGGCTGTGGCGTGTGAGGCTGATGTCCAGTGGATGGATTGACCTGGTGTCTGATGGGCACGGTGCTTCTCCAGGCTGGATGCTGAAGCTCTCAGTGCACAAGGGACTTGAGCAGCTTCTCAACAAACAGTCTGACCATGGAGTGGCTGCTGGTGAGTTCTGGGTCTCAGTAGTTCCTTGCCAGTAGTTTTAAAGTGGTTTGAATTCTTCATAACGGGAAACAATGACAGAAAGTCAGAATTCTGGTTTCTGGAGTCATTTCTTGATGTACATTAGGTCCAGAGCAAGATCTGCAGGGCAATCCTGCAGGTCCACATCTGCCCCAACTAACTGCACATGCATTTGTTTAGCTCAGCAGTTAAAAAGTCATTTATTTCTAGCTAGTTGAGTAGAAACTCAGCTTACTCCCTAGAAGAGGCTGATGTGACTCATGCACCATGACAAGTGCAGAGGCAGAGGAGCTGCAAGCTGCGTCTTTCCACCTTCCCACCCCCAGCCTCCCCTGGGGCTTTACAGACTCTGTCGTTGAGGACAGCACATGCAACCCCTTGGTAAGCTGTGACCCACAACAGAGTCTCATCTGCTTTCCACCAGCCCCAAAAGCTAGTGCCAAGAGTCATGTCCTCACAGTCATGGGGTCAAATGTCCACCGGGGAATGATAAGTTAAGTGCAAAGCCGTCCCTCATGCTCTTGTCTTTCTCACTTGTGCTCTGGAGATACCACAGCTATGGAGTCAGACACCAGTGACATTGGCAAGTGGAGCTGGATGGAAAGAAGCTGCCCACTGCAGAGGTGCTCAGGCCCTGAACACTGCCAGGGATGGGGCAGCCACAGCTTCTCTGGGCACCCTGTGCCAGCGCCTCAGCACCCTCACAGGGAAGAGCTTCTGCCTAAGAGCTCAGCTCAGTCTTCTCAACCTCTGGCAGCTTAAAGCCATTCCCCTTGGCCTGTCCCTACATCCCTTGTCCCAAGCCCCTCTCCAGCTTTCCTGCAGCCCCTTCAGGCACTGGAGCTGCTCTCAGGTCTCCCCTTCAGGAGCCTTCTCTTCTCCAGGCTGCCCCAGCCCAGCTCTCTCAGCCTGGCTCCAGAGCAGAGCTGCTCCAGCCCTCGCAGCATCTCCATGGCCTCCTCTGGGCTCGCTCCAACAGCTCCACGTCCCTCTTGTGCTGCTGCCCCAGAGCTGGATCAGGGCTGCAGGGGGGGTCTCCCCAGAGCACAGCAGAGGGGCAGGATCCCCTCCCTGAGCTGCTGCTCACGCTCTGGGGGTGCAGCCCAGCACACGGGGGGGTTCTGGGCTCAAGCTCACACTGAAGCCGGGTCATGGGGAGCTGCTCCTCACCCAGCACCCCCAGGTCCTTCTCCTCAGGGTTGCCCCATCCAGGCTCCCTGTATTTGTGTTTGGGACTGCCCTGACCCAGGTGGGCCTGAATGCTCTGCCCAAGGCTTTTTAATGGGGGGAGCCGTATCCCGCTGTCATGGCAGGGGAAGGAAAGGCTCTTTGACATCAGGGAGAATTAAATCGAATCCCTGGAATGGATCCAAGATGAGAGTGAGTGAATAATTCACAACCAATAATTTATGCAGAAAATGTAGTTTCTTTTGCTACTCGAGACTTGTCTGTAAAATGGAAAAGATTACTTCAGCTGTGTTTGTTGTTTGACTTTGTTCAATTAAGCTGAGTGAGGCTTTGAATCTCAGGTTTATTTTATGCATTGATTGTATATGGTTTATATATCTGATACTTAATTTTCAGCAAACCTCCCCTGCTTTGGTTAGGGACAAATTAGCTGAACTGTGTCACGACGCTGATTTCTGTGCTTTGATTGAATAAGCATAATACTTGCAGGGCTTGACCCAAATCTCCTTTTCATCTCTTGCTCTTGGATTAAGCCCATGATCGAGACGAGGCTTGAAAAAACCCTTGTCAGAGATGCTGAAGACGTTCAAGAAGAGGAGGAGACAGGAAGAGATGGGGAATTTTAATAAACATTGAACAGTTTTTGCATCACTTCAGAGTCATTTGAAGCATCTGAGCTTTATTGAGAATGAGCCTGCTGTGACGGGGCCTGCCTTGCTGTACAATGAGAACGTGGGTGAGCTCAGGAAAGAGGGGCTGCAGAGGACAACCAGCCTCATCGTGACTCAAACGTCCTTCCATAAAGGAAGAGAAACCCCTAGCAACAACCCCACACATTAAAGTCAACCCTATACCTATGCTGCATTCTGAATACATTCGGTAGGTAATAAGCAAAGGGTTCTGTTGAGACTGCTCAGTGTCCTCAAACCAGGGCACACGACACCCCAAAGGAGTGATGAGTTTAAGCAGGCCACAGATAATTAGAGATGTGAGACTTGAAAAGATTTTAAAGAAATTATTCTTTATAAATTGTAGTAAATTATTTATTTAAAAAAGAGAAAACTTACTTGTAATTAAGAAAAAAACCCTTGGGTATTTCGAGAGCAGCCTCACTGCAGAAGGGCAGGGGGAGAAGGAAGCAGCTTTGATGGCTTGGGGTGACAGCCTGCCCTGAGCAGGGGATGTTTTCTCACTCCATCCATAGTGGGGAGCCAGCAATTGCAGCCAGCTTTCGTCTTCCTGTCCTCAAAGATCTGATCAGTTATAAATGATATTGTGATATTATCAATGATGAGTTTAAAAGGTTGCTCCTGGTACTGCATGTACGAGCAAGGATTACCCTTGTCCTTGCTGCCCGGCCCTGGTGAGGGTGGGCTGGACGTGGCTGCTCCTGGTCCCAGAGCACAGGGAATCTTGGAGCTGGGAGGCATCCCTCCTGCCTTCCACATGCCAAACCCAGCTCTTACAGCACAACTACTTCTTTTGGTGGTTTTCTCTTTCAATCCCGAAGTGTGTGCTTTACCCAGTCCTTAAGGGCATCCCAGTTCATCTTTGCATTGGATGCAGTTTGCCAGCATTCAACCATTGCAAGCTCTTCTTTCTGGGACAGGGCCATACATGCAATGCTGAGTTAAATGGAAGCCAAGCACTGAGGTCTCTGAGGAGCTTCATTAGTGACCTCTCTGCACCCAGCCATCCCCCTTCTACAGCACTGCTTTTTGTTGTCCTTGGTGTCCATGTCTACCCTACCAGCCCTGCACTGATTCAGAGCTCCCATGTAAATACTGGTCACTGCAGGGCTTGGTTATGTGTCTGTTCTGGTCTTGTTGGGCTTTTCCAGGCTCTTCAGGGAGCTCATGTTCATACATCTTTATTTTTAGTGTGGAAGATGATGTGGTATCTCATGGTGGAGCCATTTATGCAAAGAGCTAGAGACAGGGTAGCAATCACCGGCATTTCAGGAGGGACTTCTAGATTCTGCTCCTGCGAATTGCCTGCTTAGGCTCAGCTCTGACTCTTCAAAGTATTTTCTCTTTTCCTTTTGTCAGGGAAATAAATGTACTCACCAAGGTGCTGTTCTGAGGTGTACTGCTCATTTTACGTAACCCATCGCATTAATTAACATTCATCTGAGCAGGCTGAGGTGTGGTGGGGAGAATAATAGGCTTCATGTAATCAGTCTTGTGGGGAAAAGATATCATCATTCCAGCATGTGAATACTGGTTTAACCATTGACAATATTCCCCTGCTCCCTCATCAAGAGCAGAGTGGGAAAGAGGAAGAAGGATGGTCAGATTGCAGTTGTTTCTGATTCAAATGCAAAGGCTCTTCGTGGCACTGAATACTTAGAACAGAACGTGCCTGCAGCGTTGGGCTCCACCAGATGTAGGAGCTTCTTATCCCTGAGGAATAGATTGCTTTGCTTTAGCAGAGCTGCTCTTTCAGTAACGTGGTAGGTTTAAAACTTCTCCACTGACAACATCTGTGGGACTCTGGCAAGTGATCAGCAGAGAAAGGAGCATTTTGTGAGGACAGTCACATCTTCATGCTGAGCTGTCAGGTTTGGTCTGTCTAGACATGAATAAGGAGTTGATGTTTGGGGCACCAGTGGTATTAATTATGCACTGAGTGTGCAGGAGTGAGAATGGACAGGTACAGCCATATGCACTGTACAAACCCACTTCTGCTGCACTCGATCATCTGATGCTGGAACTTGTCCCAGAAATACCTAGAAAGGTCCCAGGTTTTACCTTTGGTGGTTTAGGGGAGATGTTGAGTAGAGTTTTCTACTCATTCCTGCAGGTGCAACAAACTGTGCAAGGGCACCAGGGGAATTTGAGAGGCTTTGCACTCCAGCTGGCTAGGAGACCTGAGGATCTGAGAGGAAAATGAACCTGTCACAACCCCAGCCAAGAGCATCTCTGATGTCCTGGAGGGCTGATGGAGCCCCAGGTAGCTCCTGTCACATGCTGTGACAGCAACACTGGGGACAGACCATGGCAGGATCCAAAAGAACAACCTTGATGGCAACTACCATGCAGCAGGTGGAGTTCTGGGAGGCACATGGTGCTGTGGACATAGCTAGGAATAAGAAATATTAAAACAGGCAGGCAGAAAAGGAAGGGGAGTTGCATCGAGAAGAGCCACATGCTGCAAGGAGCCTGTCAAACAGAGAAGTGCCCAGGGTTTGAAGAGACACAAGAACAGTGATGGATTATGTCACATAGAACTAGTTTAAATGCTAAGCTGGAATGAAACCGGGCAGCACCAAGGGTTCAGGTCATTACTCAGGGAAATGTGGGCATAATCTCAGGGGATAATGGACTGTTGACCGGGAAGTGCATTGTTGTTTCCTAAGCCCAGTCTGGGTACCAGTGTGAAAACCTTCCTGGGATGCGCCACAGTGAATGGCCCCAAG